GGGTCTCTGTGAAGGCAGTTTTGGGTCTCTGTGAAGGCAGGTTTGGGGTCTCTGTGAAGGCAGGTTTGGGGTCTCTGTGAAGGCAGTTTTGGGTCTCTCTGAAGGCAGTTTTGGGTCTCTGAAGGCAAGTTTGTGCCATGGGGCAGCACTGGACACTCCAGGTGGGATTCCCAGACTTTGGAGTGTGGATCTGGTGCCTGTTGCCTTGAGGGCAGCTCAGGAGGCCTCCTGAGTGCGGAGCAGGAGAGAATCACTGGATCATGGACTGGTTTGGGTTGGAAGGGTCCATCCAGCTCATGTCATTCCAACCCCCCCACCACGGGCAGGGGCACCTTCCCCCAGGCCAGGCTGGAGCCAGGAAAGGTCCTGTGGAAACCAGGAGATATCCCCTGGATCCAGGGGATCCATACTGTGATATCCATCCTTGGTGGGGGCCATTTTAAAGAGAGTTCTGTTGAGAATGGGACAAGTGTCCCCCCTGCTCCCCCACCACGGCCCTGGTGCCCTGTGTCCTCGTTCCTGTCGTGCGTGGAGGTGTTTGCTGCAGTCCCCATGTTCTGTCCTTTCACTGTGGCTGTTGTGTGTTTTGTGTGAAAATTATCATTTTCGTGTGATAATTAATCTTTCCTCTTTCTCTCTTCGCCCTTTTCTTTTGCCAACACCTCTAGGAGGAAGAGCAAAAGCAGGCAGTAAGTTGACTTCACTTTGTAGGTGATCTGACTCTTTTTTTTTTTTTTTTTTTCTTCCTGCATGAAATCCATTTTCTGTTAATTGGCTCGTGTGCAAATAAACCGTGGGGCTGCGGGGCCTTTCTCTCTCCTGGGTTTGCAAACAGCCTCCATCAGCTTCCAGCAGAGCATGTTTGGTGTGTGTCCTTAAAGCCACTGCTCTCTCCCTTTCAAATGAAGTTGGTTGCCACGGGGGCACAACCAGTGGCTGGATTCCTGAGGCTTTCCTGGAATCGTGCATGACCATCCAGGGCTGAAAATGGGGGGGGGATTCTCAGCTGGCTTTCATGATTTGTTTTGTTGGGGATCCTTTGGAGTGTTTCACATGCTAAGAAAGCTTTCTTGTCTCTTCAGGAACCCTTTAATTTGCCTCCTTGCCACATGCAAGTCCATGCATGAAAAACTAATTAATGACTTAATATTCCGGGCATGGATCCATGTCCTTCAGCCATGGCAGAGTCTCCTTGAAGGAGCCCCGGGGTGCTGGTTGTGAGCAGGAGTTGTGAGCTGACAGAGACAGGAAAGCCTTGGCTTTGTTGCCCATTCCCGTTTTGTCTGTGCAGACCCGAATCCTGTGTTAATTTCGGGATCCACTCCAGAGGGAGCCCTTTTGCTTTTCTCAGGATCAGCCAGATGTTGGGTGTCCTCTCTGCAGCTCGGCACGTTTGCAGTGTTTCTGAACATGGTTGCCTCTCTGCCCGGGCTGTAGTGACCATCAGCCCTGGGGTTTGCACTGCTGGGGGGCTTCACACCTTGTTTGTCACGTGCACGATTGGATATTGGACACGTGCACTGGAAATTCTGGTGACTGATTCTTTGTAGGGGGTTGTGTGTTTTGGGGTGACTTTAAATGGTGAAAACACTTCAGTTCCACATGTGCTGAAAGTGGCTTTTGGTGACTCCTGGGTGGCCTTTTCTCAGTGTTCTGTCGTCAGTCTGAGGTGTTGGTGAGTGGGCACCTTCTCTTGGAGCCCAGGGCATTGTTGGGTGATCAGGGAATCATGGAATCATGGAATGGCCTGGGTTGGAAGGGATCTTAAAGATCATCCAGTGCCACCCCCTGCCACGGGCAGGGACACCTCCCACCAGCCCAGGTTGCTCCAAGCCTCATCCAGCCTGGCCTGGGACACTTCCAGGGATCCAGGGGCAGCCACAGCTTCTCTGGGCAGCCTGTGCCAGGGCCTCCCCACCCTCCCAGCGAGGAATTTTTTCCTAGTACCCAATCTCAGCCTGTCCCTGGGTTTGCTGAGGCACCTGGCAGAAGTTATTTGGCTCGTTGGAGGGACCAGGTGGCAGCACCTGGAAGGATCTTCAAGGAATGTCCTGGAGGAAGGAGAAGAACCAAGGCACCACCATTCCTGTCCTCCAGCTCCTGGCTGTGCCAGTGGAATGCTGTGTTGTGTGTCATTCTCCCACCCAGCATCATTCCTAGGAATAATTCTCTGCAGGGAAAGGCAGTGTTATACATTAGCTCATTTTTCCTGTGCTGTGCTTTCATCTGGATTAGGGATACAGCAAAAGGGGAAATATGAGATCAGGGAAGAATTTGACCAATTTTACCTCCCTTCTTTCCCTGGAACACTGTGTCAGGAGGAGGATAATGAGCCAAAAGTAAATAATGTCAACACAGTGACATTCTGTCCGGGCCAATTCTGTTGGAATCGGGGATGAATGAGCCAAAAAGCCTCGAGAAAGGCAGATTTTGACCAAGCAAAGGACATTTTGCTGGTCTGTAGGAGCTGAAACTTTACATCCTCCCTTTGCCTGGGCTGAGAACTGTTCTCCTAGATATGAAGGGGCAGCCTGGAAAGGCTGGAAATCCCAGGATGCTGCATTTGGCTGAGAAACACACAGAAACCACAGACTGGCTGGGGTGGAAAGGCAGCTCTGAGACCACCCAGACCACCCCCTCTGCTCCAAACAGGCTGCTCAGGGGTTTGTCCCATCACCACAGTGTCATTAAATCCCAGAGTGGTTTGGGTGGGAAGGGACCTTAAAGCCCATCCAGTCCCACCCCTGCCATGGGCAGGGACACCTCCCACTGTCCCAGGTTGTTCCAAGCCCCGTCCAACCTGGGTTTGTACGAGGGAAAATGTGGAGCAGCCTCTGGGTGCTGATCCTTGGGGGTGTGAGGTGATGATCCTCCCAGCCCTTGGTGAGAAGGATCAGTTGTGTGGTGGCAGCAGGAATTTCCATGAAGGGTTAAGGTAAATAACAGGCAGAACAAGGGTCGTGGATTGGGACCAGCAGCACATCAAGAGCAGCAACATTTGCATCCACTTTGGAAACCTCTGATCTTCCTTCACTGCTGGGGCTGCAGGTCCCTTCCTGCCTTGGGCAGAGATCATGGCAAGTTAGAAGGAGGGAGACACTGTTTCTGAGCCTGGGCAAGTCCAGAAACTTCTGTGCCCTGTGTTCAGAGCTGATCTTCCCTCGAGATGTTCACAGTTTCTGCTCTGTCTGGGGCTCTCTGGGGCCGGTCCTGGGCACACCCTGGAGGAGCAGAGCCTTGTGCAGGGATGTTATTGCAGGGATGTTATTGCAGTGACGGAGCCTTGGGCCACATGGTGTTCGTGGCCCACCACACTGTTCCCCACCACTGCTGGGATTGTTGTGTCCCAGCTAGTAAAGATCCTAATTTACAACAGGACTGTTTCCACGTCTCAGCTGGTGAGAAACTTGGACAATCTGCTAAGTATTAAACCCTCTTTGTTTTGTAGTCAGAGGAGCAGCCGTAGGAGCTGCGCTGTTCTATATCCAGAGGAACATTCAAGGGATTCCCAGCGATGTACATCACATGGATGGGTCCTTGGCGTGTCCCACAATCCATACAACAGACCCAGAGCAGCGTCAGGCGCTCGTGCTCCGGCACCAGAGCCCGGCTCTAATGCCAAACAGGCCCAGGAACACAGTGGAGGAGCTCACGGGAGGGCTGAAACGCTGGGATGGAATCCTTTCCTCTCAGAAAACGGTGGGAACCGTGGGAGCAGCAGAGCACACTGGGCTCGTGGCTCCCAGGGCTGTGTTACCCAGCAGAAGTGGACGTGCACTCACCCAACAACCCTTGGGAAGGCGTGGAAGTCCTTGGGGGGTTTTCCTTTAACCCCATGGAGAGGGATCAGGAGTTCCCCTTTTCCTCCCAGGGTTCAGGTCGAGTGTGTGGATGAGAGCTCCCAGTGAGCCTGAGCAGTGCCAGGGCAGCAGTGCCAGGGCAGCAGTGCCAGGGCAGCAGTGCTCATCCCCTGAACGAGCTGAACCTCCTCAGCCGTGGCTACAACAGAGCTGAGCCCAGCAACCAGCTCAGGTGACACCTGTGTCCTCTCCCAAGGGATGCAGGAACCCGTGAGTGGGGAATTCCCAGCCCTGCAGAGCCCTGGGTCACCTGGAGGAGTCTCCTGTCGATACCCAAATCCGAGGCTGCTGCTCAGTTCTGCATCCATTGCATCAGCCAGAGGTCCAAAGGTGGAGTCCCAGTCCCTGGAGGTGTCCCAGGAAGGCCTGGCTGTGGCACTCAGTGCTCTGGGCTGGGGGACAAGGTGGGGATGGGGCACAGGGTGGGCTCGATGATTTTTGGAGGTCTTTTCCAACACAAATGATCCTGGGACTCCTCGGCCTCCCAGAGCCCGTGGCTGCACTTGGTGTTGGGAGCAGTGTGCCTGGGAACTGCCAGGGAATGTGCCCACTGAGTTGTGTCCCAGCCCTCCCAGCGAGCATTCCAACGCTTGGATCCTGAAAATTACCTTGTTCCAGTGCCAGGAACACTCCTGTGTGTGGTTCAGCTTCCTAACGTGGACAGGCAGAGCTTTGGGATCAGCTTGGGGTTGGTGCCTCCACGCTGAGAGCGTGTTTGTGGGTCTCCCGGAGGGTATCGTTGAATCCAAGTGGTTTTGGGTGGAAAAGGATCTTAAAGCTCAACTAGTCCAGCCCTCCAGCCATGGGCAGGGACACCTTCCACTGCCCAGGTTGCTCCAGGCTCCATCCAACCTTTATCAAACCTTGAAGACCTCCCAGAAGAGCCAATGAGTTGTGTGGGGAGCCCATCCTACGCAACGATGGAGTTCATCTGTCAGACATTTCAGAATGGAAGGGACGGGTCTGTGCTGCCCCCAGGTACTGGAGGTGAAGAAGGCCCTCACCTGGCTCTTTGGTTGGCAGCAGTGCCCCTGGCAGAAGACTTTTGGATGTGAGGAGGAAGGCTTGGCAGGGAGCAGCCATGGATATGCGCCAGGATTAGTCTTGGAAGTGTTTGCTCTGGTGGATCTTCACTGTCCTGTGGTGGTTGAGCCAGGTAAGAGACACATCCCTGAATCGTGTGGTGGTGCTCCCTGTCACCGTGGGATGAACACTGAAGTGGAGACAGTGTCTGCAGGAGATCTGGTGTCTCTCTGAACAGAAAGAAGTCCCCTCTCCCAGAGCACTGCCGAGTTTCTCCGGGGCTGCGGGAGCCGTCCCCGGCCACCCTCTGCTCTCTGTGCCAGGAGGCAGAGCTAAGGGGATTTGGAGAGGGACTTTGGACAAGGGCCTGGAGGGACAGGACAAGGGGGAATGGATTCCCACTGCCAGAGGGTTAGATGGGATATAGGGAAGGAATTGTTGGCTGGGAGGGTGGGGAGGCCCTGGCACAGGTTGCCCAGAGAAGCTGTGGCTGCCCCTGGATCCCTGGAAGTGTCCAAGGCCAGGTTGGTCGGGCCTTGGAGCACCCTGGGCTGGTGGAAGGTGTCCCTGCCCGTGGCAGGGGGTGGGATGAGATGAGCTTTAAGGCCCCTTCCAACCCAAACCATTCTGGGATGCTCGGCTGGGGAGGGGTCCCTGTCAGTCGCTGGCAGCCCAGAGGGGCTCCAATCCCCCCATCCCGTTGTCCAGAGCACACAAACAGCACGAGGGACCAAGTGTTGTCAAACAGAGGCTGGAACAGTGGAGAGCACTTGGCTGTTTCTGACCCTGTGTTGTAGCAAGCAGAG